CCCCAAAACCCCAAAACCCCAAAACCCCAAAACCCCTTTGGAGGGAGAGGAGGTTGAAGATTTGAGGGACTTGGAGTTGGGATAGGGAGGTTTTGAGGGAGGGAGGGGAGGGTGGGTATTGTTTGTGTAGATGGGGCACGATCTCTGGTTTTATATGATGTGGGTGTAGGTTAGGTAGGGTGTTTTGAATGGTATGGAATTTAGAGGATAGTTTGGGTTGGGTTATTTTATTTTAGCATTCAGTTTGGTAGGTGTTTCTTTGTTTAATTTCTTGGCTTCATAAGTCTTTTAAACGTATTTATCCTTTTGAACGACTTTTAGGAGTCATGTTATGTCTTTTCTTTTGAGTTTTCACTTCAATTTTTGCTTTGGACATCTACAAAAAGATTTCACCTCTGGATTAAGCATTTTTAGTATTTTTGGATGAATAGGCCCTTTGAATCAGATTAAATCTGACTGACTGTTAGATTTAGTTGGAGTTTGTAAATGAAGATAAGGTTTATCTTTCTCTGAAATTATATTCTTAATCTTTGACCGATTGGGGGTTTTACATCCAACTCTTTGGCCAATTAAAGTCTGAGAGCTTGAAATCTGCTTGAAAAGTATTTTCTCTTGTTCCGAAAAATGTTCTTCAAATAAAGCCATTCTCGGAGTCTTTCAGGTATTTTTCATACATCTTTTCATGCACTTTTTCTTTCGAAATCTCACTTTATTTGTTATAATTCTTTCCCCAGGGCTCTATCTCCCCTTTCTGCACCTCAATGTCCCCTCTTCTCCCCTTATCTATGAGTCTACACAAGAGTTACCCTAAGGCTGCTAAGAAGGGCACTTACTTTGTCTTGTGGACGCGTGCAGTGAGGTTTGGATGAGGGATGGAGACAAGACTGGGTTCTGGAGGGGGTGGTGAGGGGTTGAAAGGGGTTGGAGTGAGGTGCAGGGAGATTGGAATCGGGGAAATTGGGTTAGGAGGGCTTTTGGAGCAGGGTTTTGGAGGTTTTATGTCTGTTGGCATTTTATGTAGGGATTTTCAATAAATATTAGAATTTGAGGGGTTTTGGGGTTTTGGGGTTTTGGGG